TGAACAGGAGTCCAAGAAAGTGAGCAGATCTTCCAAGGACTTCAAAGCATTCTTCCTGACTGTGCAAATAAGAATCCAAGGCTAACTTCTACATCTAGTATGTTCAGAGCTTCTGGGGTCAGAGTACTCCAATGCAAAAGATGCGTTAGCGCAAAAAAGTCTACCACCCCTAAAAGAGCTAGCATTGCAGAAGCATATACCACACATATCAAAAGTCCAGAAAAAACACACACAAACATTTCAGACAAATACTTTAAGTCATCTGTTTTTATTACAAAAATGACAGTTGGTGTTAGTTGCGTACAATAGCACGTGCTGTCAGTGCTGCATAGCTGCTTCCACACATGACAACAGCCCCTGCTTACAGTCAGGACAAGTAGGTTACTTTATATCCACTACACCCAAGCTACTTGCAGTCATTACTGCAGAAAGTCTGACATGACTGTTAGGAAGAGAGGGGACCCTGGAGTAGATAAGCCAGAGTATGAGAAACTGGTTTAGTGCCTTATAAATAGCAACTATAGCTTCGTGGATTTATTATTATGAAATAAGTCTTTTATTTGGGTACATTTCGATAATTATTAAGCCTTAATAAGCTTCTTTGCTGCACCAACAGCCATTACCAGTAGCAGCAGTGACCCAAGAGACTACTCAGAACTTCTCACTGCTTTCATTACAATACTTCATAGTCAGGGAAAACTACATAGCATTTTACACTGTTGTAACTTGAGAGCTTAACACTTTTCTTCTACGTTCAGTTACTGCTGCTTATCTGTTGCTGTGCTCTGTTCAGTGCCTGAGCTATGCTTGTTCTTAAGGGACCTTCCAATATATCTCCAGTATTCCTTTCGGATGGTGTCCTTTTCTTTAGCCAGAATTTCACACAACTGAGAAAGAATTGAGAAATGGAAGTGTTATAGCAAAATTAAGCAACCCTTAATTATCTTCATACACATAATACATGGGTCAGCCAGTCTTGGAAATTCCTTTTAATAGCAATAAAATATGTTCTATTCACAAGTTTCGCAACAGCGTTCAATGACTAATAACTAAAAACTAATACCAGCTCCAAATGGTAGCCATCCATCAATCTGATCGAGTACACAGATCTCTTTCTAGTTCTATTTCAGTAGCAACGATTTCCTCTGTTACTCCCTTCTGTTCTCACCCTTCTTTTCTCCCCTAGCCTATTAAGGCAACAGTATACTGAAGAATGGAAACCAGATAAATCAAAACAGGCTTAGCCTGTGGCCACTAGATCTGTCTGTGGCTAGAACAGCTGTGCAGATAGATGGCATGGCACGATACACACCCCAAAGAAAGCACATTCTGAAATGTCATTAATATCAGCAATCTTCAAGATGTAATTATGGGGCAGGAGACACCTGGAGGGCACGCTGGTCATCTAACAAACTTGGCTATCTCCTGGTGAACTGGTAGACTGCAGACCACTTGATCCAAGACAACGGGTCAGACATTCTGTTCTTGAATCTTCAGTACTCTAAGTGAACTGACCGGAGTGACTTCCTTACGGTCTTTCTCTTAGCAGCCTGCCCAAAAAGATTCTCAATGCTTAAGTCTAGCTCTCTCACAACTTGTTAGAACTGGGGCTATACAGACACTTTTACATCTTCTGAATTTTGTTTTATTTTAATCTGGGTGAGCAGCGGGACACAGAGGTCAACTCACAGCGTACGAACGCTGCCCCAAACGTTCTAGTTCATTTTCATTTATTAAGCAGAGGACATTGCCCTGCTTAACAAACAAGAGCTCGACAGTAGCAGCTTCAAGGCCTGAACAGATGCCAAAGCCACACTCCGTGGAGTAATATCAGGGAATACGGAGCTGGGAGGTATAATTTCACTTTTAGACTCTGGTCCTGAAGCACAGCAAAGGACAAATGTTGAGAAAGATGGATCGTGCAACATAGAGACTCTGGACAAGAACTGTGATGCCAGTCACATTCATTCTGGTCTGGTCCAAAGAGCACTCTTGGAAACAGTACACTGCAAGCCACAGCAAGGAATTCCCTGAATATGAACTATAAGGAGCACAAGTTTAGAAGGCATTTATTCTCTGTAGGGAACGGTGCCTGACATCCCCTACTGATGCCTCCAGATTTTCCGCTGGCCTTTAAGCTAAAGGTCAGCTTTCTTAGCCAGTGCTAAGAGGTGCAAATGGAGCTTGAGATTCTACGTATATACAGGTATTTTGAGCATAAGATCCGCTAATGAGAGAAGTGAGTTCACGGTACAAAGTTAGCATTGGGAACTCTTCACTTTTTTGAACATTTCCTTTCTTCTGTATGCAATATTAGAAGCTTTCCTTTACTAGGAGGTGAAGAAAAGTTAAGTTTTCGTACCTGGCAAGTTAGTATTTATAATTAAACACAAAGCACCACAGTGATTATCTGTCTTTCAATTCCAACACTTACGCAGCTGTGATTAACAAATAACCGGTTCCATTTATGAAAGTTAATCCCATTTTGTCTAGCAATAAAATAAGAAAGCAACAGACAGTATCCTGGAAGACCTAAAAATCAAGCTCTCCAAACCTACCTCTAATGCCTTATTTAGTGTTTCTTCCTTGTTATCACACTGGTTTTCGAGCATATCTTCATAGATGTCCACAAGAAAGGCAATCAGATAGGGTGAGCTGTGGCTGGGTTGTAAATCCAACAGCTGCTCTAATAGGTTTGGGTATTTCGAAAGACCTCGATCCTGAAGAATCCTAGAACAGAGGATAATAGGCTTGAAACATAATGCTAGCAAATTTGGTGCCAAGAGTTAAATTTTGGTTATGATGTATTTGGAGATTAGTTTTACAGGAAGGGGTGCAAATACAAGTGAGGCAGAAATTAAGCAGCATAAATATAATGCAGCAATAACACAGCTTCAAGTCACAGTAAGCTAGTACAGTTAGGCTCAACTTAGCAGAAATTATACTGAAAGCATACTCATTACTTCCTGAATGAACCTGGCTCTTGAACCCAGTAACATTACTGGCTCTTGAACCCAGTAACATTACAGGGTCAAGTGCTTCTTTCAAAGTATCAGAAGCACTTATAATCCTCTCACAAGAACTACGGGGCTAGAAACTAAAGTGGGAAGTTACGCAGAGATAAAATTAATACATCATCCCTCTGCTTGCCCACTTCAGTGCACAAGCCTGGAATGAGAAAACTGAAAAGCTGCTGACAAACAGCAACAAGCTCCTAGTTAGCAGCCAGGCATAGGACATGAGGAGTCAAACCGTTTAAGGCACTTCCCACAGATGCTCTCTTTGCCCCACAGATAAGGATGCCTCACCCTTTTAAATAGTTCCAAGCACTCTCATTATGTGGTACTGCTTTGATCATCTCAAGGGTGTATCTGTGAGAAAAAGATAACAGGATATGAATGCAAACACAAACGTTTCTGTTAGAAATTAGCTCAATGTGTCCAGCTCTCTCCCAAGCACATCTACCTAGTTTATATTTCAGAGTGTTTTTGCTGATCATCTCAGGGAGGTCTGAGCGTCCTGCAGTATAACCGCAGATCTCAAACAGGCAGGTGTTGCGAGAACTATTTTAAATCCCAGAGTATTTTCACTTGTTGCATTTTGTACAATAATGAAACAATCCTCAAAATCAAGAGTGCCAATTTCTCCCTCCTCTAAGAAGTAACATGATATATTCTGCTAGTATGCCAAAGGAATAGCTTGTGTCTTGATGCTCAGTGAGTCGGACCTTGAATGAGGAGGTATTGGAAAGGGCTAGAGTAAGAGCAGCACGTTCTCAGCTTACGGTAGTATTACTGCAAGGTACCTATTGGCAGAACTTTTGTTATGAAGTCAAACAGCTGCACCTGAGCAAACCCACAGAAAGGCAGAGCTTGAGCTTTAACCTCATACAGCCTTCTGCAGTAGTTCCGTTAAAGAGAAGCAGCAGTGAGGAACCGCCTCCAAATGCAAAGCAACAGTAATCACCTGCCACGTTTTATGTTATGTAGCTGCATTTCAGCTTCACAAAACAGCTTTCACCTTCCGTGCTTCCCAAAGCATCCCCAGGCATTCCGCTGACTTTCAGAGAACTGATACTGCTAATCAGTTCTGTAAGCAGCACTGCAACAAACAACGTCTGAACCTTTTAAACCCTTCTGCAGTCACTACTGGGGGATTGAGCGTACCCAGGAACAAGCAGATCAACTATAGTTTGGTGATGACATCTGGGAAGTATTAACATTAGACAGTCTGGATCTTAAGAACGTATCCAGTTGAGATTATCTTGAATATAGCACCACCATGTGTAAGGAGATCAAGGAAAGAAAGCAGATGTAACTTTTGGAGAGAAAAAATTTGGAAATATCCCAGCCTGAGTCACGTAACTGGTTCAGATTCATTAATCCGCAAGAAAGTTATCATCTGGAAAAAAGCATGACTTACATCAGTATGCAAAGAGATCCATCAGAAGGGGTGATGGTGGAGGATCTTCTATGACCAATGTATCTAACCTTTCATTTATTCATTTCTTAACGTGAACCTATCCAGAGTTTCAGTCTTTCTTCTGAAGCATAACTCTAAATTTTTTTTTTTTTTTTTCCTTCTTCACTTTACACAAGTACCTTTCATAACCGTCAGCCTTGACCAGCACCCTAAGATGTAAAAACCGGACAAGATTTTTCTTAACACTACCTGCAATAACAGAATGGCTGGAAGCTCAGTTTATCTTCAATTAGAAATATACTGCTGTGGAACAGGTTCCAAAGTTGGTGGTTCCTTAAAACTAGCCAACGCTTAGAATGGGAGTCATTTTTGTGCTGACTACAAGTTTCTGAAAGTTTCTTTTCCCAGCTGTATGAGATGCCTAATGAAAGGTTATGCCTCTTCCTGCAAGCCATGCCTAGGTTTTCGTTAAATCATTGCAGCTACTTTACAAATAAAAAAGCAATTTAGCATAGTTTCAGCAGAGTTACATTAGTACAGAACTAAGAGCACTTCTGCTTCCAGACTTTCTAGGTCAGTGTTCTGGTCAGAATATAAGATGTTAATGGTGAACGCAGGATACGTGGCACTCACGTCAAGATTTTTAGCAGGCTGATCCACTTTTAAGTGGTAGACTGCAAAATGCCAGCTGCTTTGTTTCCAAAGCAAACAGCATGAGAGGAAGGCAACCACATGGGATTAGCTTATCCAAGGTAAGCACCGCTTGCAGACAAGTCAGTGGTACTGAACTTATCTACACGTGCACAGACACTTGATCTGCCATTCAGCAGAGTGGGCCTAAATGCTGCTTTAAACCCGAAAGAGAGAGGCTGAAGAGATTCAGTATCTGTGAAGGCATTCCTTTGCTTGCATGTAATGCAGAATGCCGTCTGTAATCATGAATAGCATTACTTACTGGACTTCTCTGTCTAGGACTGCTGGATCATCATAGCCGGTGGTGTTGAAAATTACAAAGTGTCTTTGGTTCCAAACAGAGTTGTTTCTCACATCCTCCCTCAGAAGCTGGTCTACATATTCCAGTTCATTATCCCACAACTTGAACTCCTAAAAGAAAGGGAAGGCGGGAAGAAAGACACAATCAAAAGTTTTTGTCTTTTCTAAAACATTCTACTTGATCCTAATTTTTTTCGAACTTTAGATACAGAGAATTTTTTAAAGACATCAGCACAACGTTCCGAGAAAAATAAGGAAAAGTACACTGGGAACACGCTACAAACAATGCTCAGAGTACATTATTAAACTCACACACACAAAAGCAAGCAGCCAACACTAAGATCTTTATGAGCTGACTTGCTGGAAGGTAAGCTTACAGCTAACCCCTGCCATGCACTGAAATGCCTTTATTTTTTTCCTGCAGCTTTTAAGAATCAAAATGCTGACTGCAATTCAGGTTGCATTTAAGAAGGAAAACTTGACAACCTGAGGCGGATATTTAGTAAAAAAGCAGTTCCACGGATAAGATACCTGAATAACCCACTGTCTGTGCTGCCAGGCATGGTAATTCTTGGCATCTTGGTTAAGAATGTCAGCTATAAACTCAAGCTCTTGAGATGGATCCTGCAGCCATTCTACCAATACCCGTCTGTGATGCCTGATGACAAGGAAAGGAAGCTATTTTCAGAATAGTCTAAAAAGCTTTCTTTGAATGAATGGCCTGTGTTAAAACAGCACTTAATAACTGTACTACTTATTAAAAAAAAAAAGTACTAGTTAAATACTTCTAATGAAATATCCCAAAACATTTCACTTGGTTTTTTTTTTTTTTTTTGAGAATTTTAAAGATGCAAACCTATACTGCAGCAAATTCTTATGTGACACATACATACTGGTAAATCACCTCCTTTTAGACAAGCTACGTTTACCTGAGCTGTTAAGTTTCCACTTTGAGACCTGTGGCCAAACCTCTGATCAGAATTAAATTTTCTAACACTAGGAAAGTTCTCTAGCAACGAGAACACTGCTGTTTTCCCCTATTCCCATTCATTTGAGACAAATGACAGCTAAGCAAACTCCAAGTGCCGATAAAGGAAAACACATCCACTTGTATCTGTCATTTTGTTTGCTATTTCATCAGCCATTTTTGTTCTGTCAGATGTTGACAGTTTAAAAATCAAAAGAAAATAAGACCTTTTTGGCATGTCATATTCATATGTTTAGAACAAGTTGCTAAAGAGGACTTTGGCAGTGATAGGCATGCAACTCCATTTAACTCCTGTCACTGCCATGGCAGTAGATGGAGGATTAAGTTTTGGGATCAATGGTCACAACTTTTTGTAGATAAGGGGGAAAAAAAAAAAAATTCCCTGCAGAAACATAAAGAACTGAAAAGGTGTTTTTACCAGACTTGGTAGTTCTTTGGCTGATCTTCAATAATAGCTGTAATATACTTAAGTTCCTCGTGGAGATCCTTTCCCAAAGACTGCAAGAGGACCCTTCGGAAATGCCTGTATAAAAGTCAAGCATTCAAACACTGCGACAGGGCTTTCATGAAATTTGCAAAGGAGAACATAAAGAAACCTTTGTTCTTGGTCCTTCTAAGAGTTAGAGAGTTAAAAAGAACGTAAACAATTAAACCACATATCCAATTCTGTTAAAGGCCGTTCAATTACTGAAGAGTTGGCAGCAACTGGAATACAACTGGTTACAACACAGTTATCTAAGACCACAGCGGTCTTAAATTTTTAATTTAAACTCCCGTCTATCTACACTAGTTAGATCACAGAAACTACGGCTACGTGCTTAAAATAATATACACGTTCTGGTTTTATGCAAGTTAAAAAACCAGGAAAAACATGGAGGTACATGTTAGCATTCAAGGGTTAAAAGCTCTGCCCTGAATATCAGAAACCCACTGTTTTTTTCCATTATCTACCTGAACATTAAACTGACAGTTCTTTTAAAATGCACTATTTGGTAACTATGCAACTATCTGCATGGTTACTGAAACCCAACAAATAGCAGCTATCATGCTTTTGAACCTCTTCCTGAAGTCAGCTGAAGGTGCCTTTAACGTTGCTAAGGCCACGTTATCAGGTAAGTACTTTATGATCCAATTTTAAAAAGCTAGGTTTTTTCCTTTTTTTGTGGCTAATCCTATCTGGTTTGGTAACAACCTCAAAACAAGACATGGAAAATACTGAATGTGGGCTCTCTTTAAAAGCCTACTGGAAGCTTCCAGTACCTCTTGGTGTACATACAACTGCCCTATCCCGATTAAACTAACAGAATTATTACAGAAATAAGAGGTTGTCAGTTAACCGAGTATAGAAATAATCTCAAGACTATCGCTTACCATACTGTGTAGTTGGCAGCATTTAACTCAATGGCATCTGCAGTGAGCTTGAAAGCTCTTTCGCTTCTTTCATCTCGTTGCAGAACAGCCCGGAAGTAATCATACACATCTCGAACTAAACAGATAACAGCGTGTTACCCAAGCCTACGAGAAAGTGGCCCGAGATTAAGGGCTAAGGTTAATAACCTTGTGAAGTTACTTCGTACTTTGCATTCTTCCAGTATACTTTCTGAAGACTACAGCTGGGTATTGCTCTCACAGCACTCTTTACTGAAACCTCTAACGATATGGTTAGTGAATGTAAAAACCGCAAAAGCGTTCTAGAATACACCTTCTGAACGATATTCAAAACAGCCCGAACGGTATCTTGCTGCTTAGTCATCTATTTCCCCACGTGCATTGGTCCCTCCCATCTCTGTTCCACTCACGGGCCGGAACTGCTTTACTATGTGAACAATACCATCTGTTATATTCATCCTTAAACCTTATAATTTTAAAATAAAAGCTTGGCTAATAACATGCCAGGTGAAGGTTCAACTTTAGAGATGCTGGACAAAAAGGTCACTTAGAACTGTCCTATCATAGTACATACTAACTTAATTTGCTCACGGGGGTACTCTGCACTAGAATATATACTAAATCCTGCACTCTTGGTACTAAGAACACATAGAAACTTACTCATCTTAAACGTGCAGCACAAAAAAGCATCTACGAGCTTACATTTTTCACTGTAGATGATCTGAACCACAGGATTTGGTCCATCGTTTTGAGGTACGGGTTCAATATCTGCCCACTCCTTCCTGTCCCTGTAAACACATGCTTTTTCGCTCAGCTCCTTTAATTAAAAAGCAAACAAACAAACAAACCACGAAACGGCGCCCAAACCACCACACACACGACCCGTTCCCACCAATGCCTCCCGACGCTCCTCATTACTATCGTGAATTTGCCTAAGCTCCGCCACGGGAC